TCAATTTGTTACTACATACTCTGTCTAGAAGCCCATATTTACGGACAAGCTTTAGCAGATCGTCCCTCAGACACTCTCGTTGAAAAACATAAAAGACCTCTATAGACGTCTTTGGCAGCCAATGAGTTAAAGCAGAAAGTACTAAATTAAGTTTCCCCTTTTTGGTCAACTTGTTTCGGACACATTATTCTTGCAACATATTGTTATAAATCAGAATCAGAAACAGAAATACTTTAATAATCCCAGAGGGACACTATTTTTGTTACTAACTCCAGAAATAAAACAACGGCATATACACGTCTATACATATGTGTTTATGTTTCTGCATTTGGCAGAGTCCCTCTACCTCTACCTCTATCTCTATCTCACCACTGACTCTGATCAGGGTTTCTCTTCTGGATAGCTTATTGTCATAGTGATGAGAAATGGAATATTGGGTCTACTCTGTAAGTCGGATAAAAGCGTCTGCCAAATGCAGAAACATAAACATGAAACATGGTAAGTGGGGAAAATCCTGGACAGGCCAGAATAAAGCGGAAGCAACCGTGTTTTTATCTTTTGCTTTTTGGCCCAAGTCTGACTCCATTAGCACCTGGTTTGTTCACAGATCCTGACTCCGTTTGCTTTTTCCCTCCATCCTTTTTTACCCCCCTCTCATCCCGTCCGTCTCTCCAAAGGCACTCCAAAGCGAGCGCTCTGAACGGGGCTGTTTTGGGTTAGGGTTAGGGTTAGGGTTAGGCAGGGGGACTGAACTGCTATTGGGCTTCATCCTTATGGGATTCTGACCAAAGCTTGTCACAGACATTACATTAGGACACCAGGGGGCTAGCTTAACTTGTTGAAACAGGGTATGATATGTCTCCTTTAACTCATTGACTGGCAGCCTTTTTCAGAACAGAGAGAGAGTTTTTTGAGCATTTTGACTAAATTTTTCAAGAGCCACAGAATAGTTTGTGCTATGACTATGTAAACACCGAACACACCAAAAGAAAGAGTAGACTCTCTTCTTTCATCAGGAAAAAAAATGTGTTTCTACCTTATTCCGTTCTTCCTGGACTTGCGTCTCACCGGCGACATGTTCTCTCATAGAACCGTTAGCTTTTTCTTATTTGCCTACAGTCTATGCTCATCTCCCATCAAAAGTG